TGACTCCGGGCTCCGTGATTTCAGTGCCGTGCCGGGCCCCGGATCATCGGTCCCCGGCCCGAGGCCGCCGCCCGGCCCCCGGCCGCGGCCGGGCGGCCCCGGCCGAGTCCGGCCGCCGCCGCCGGGTCACCGGCGTCCGAGCACTGCCAACCTACTAGTAGGGCCGGCTCACCGGGCACGATCACGCACGGTCACCAGTGCCCCCGAAGCCTGTCACAGTGTTGAGGCTCAGAGCCGCCTGCCACTGCGCCGGCCCGGGCACTGCAGTGAGCGGCCGCGGCTGCCGGCCGGCGCCGGGGCGCCGCCGGCCCCCCGGCCCGCCGCCGGGCCATCATTGTAACGGTGATAACGTTCGTTGTACTAGAAAGAACAGTCACGAGGAGGCCGCCATGGTCGAGTTCGACAAGGTTGAAGGTGAGGAGAGAGAGAAGGAAGAGAGAGGAGAGAGAGAGGGGATACAAGAGGAGCAGGAGCAGGAGCAGGAGCAGGAGATGGGGCAGGGGTAAGAGGAGCAGGATCAGGAGCAGGAGCAGGAGCAGGAGCAGGAGGAGCAGGAGCAGGAGCAGGAGAAGGAGAAGGAGCAGGAGCAGGAGCAAGGGGGGCAGGAGGTGCAGGAGGTGTAAGTGGAGCAGGTGGAGCAAGTGGTAGACGAAAACGATTTGAGGGAGTATAAAGAGTAGGGGAGAAAGGAGATCAAACGGGACATGAGATTCCAGGTTATGGGTAGACACTAAAGATAGTATTGAAGGGATATTGTATTAGTGTGTGATTCTTGGTCCAGAGGAGAACAGATTGTTTTGGGGTATAATAGTTCGGGAAAATGCCGTAAGCACAATGATAGATCAGAGGTTATGATCAAAGATCCGATCTGAAGAGATCAAGAATGGAGGGTACACTGGGTGGGGTACGAATCGTAGGACATGCCGGAACAAAGAAAGGATCCAGCACTAAAGTAGCGGAGGTCCAGTGAGCAGAAGGCGAAGCTATGTGACACGACGTGAAAGTGGTTGTTGTCTTTGTGGATACTTCACCTCTGGTGTCTGCATGGGAACTTACTTGCAAGCTGAACAGGACAGTTGTCTATGTCGGTTCCCGACTCGGTTGTGTACCCTGTGATGGCCCTGATCTTTCTGATCTTCCTTTTCCTGGCCTATCAGGTCCGTCTGCTCTTGCTCTTGCTCTTGCTCGTGCTCTTGCTCTTGCTCTTGCTCTTGCTCTTGCTCTTGCTCTTGCTCGTACTCTTGCTCGTCCTCGTGCGCTCTTTCCTGGCAAATTCTACCGAGCTCATCGTCCTTACCTGTTGCCTTGACGCAGGGATATCGAGTGTACCAGGACAACGAGAGGGCTGCAGCAGACAAGATGAAGAAGAGGGAGCAGAAGAAAGTTGGGAGTGGGAAAGGGAGCAGGAAAGACAAATGAGAGGATTGAGATGATAGTTTGAGGAGCGACCTCCTCCAAGTCCTTTTCCTCGAGCCACAAGCCCTCGCCGCCTCGTCCTCCTCCGTGGTGGAGAGGCTCTCGATATTGTTTCCAGAAACAGCTTCACCCCTCTCTGCTAAACTTGGTATGACTCCTCAATGAATTGATTTAGTTTCTCCTTCCAACCTCCTCCACAACACCTGCGATGAAGACGAGAAAACTATGACGCATCTCAACAACGCGAGCGCTCGTGGGGCCAACGAGGACCGAAAACGAGCAAGAGGCGAGCTGTACGTGTCTAATCAATCTATTCAAGATCAGTTACGGATTATCTTCTCCTCTTCAACGCCGCGAGAGCACTATCCCTCGCCGTCTGTCTCGTGGAGGACGTAGAATTCAAAGTGTCCTTTGTTAACTCAAGGCTATTCCGTTGCACTGCCCGATCTCTCCCACTTCCGTGCACAAAGATTTCTCGAATCCCCTTCGGCACCATGCACCTTCTGAGCGCCGGCACCGCCTGGCATCGCATGCCAAGGTCCCCGCGTGTACGCTGGATGATCGCGTGCGAGGCGATTCCACTTATTCGTCCTTGGACTTCTGCTTTCCCTCAGCCTCCTCCTCGTCGTCCTCGGGCATGCCCCCGCCTCCAGCGGGGAACCAGGAGACTGGTACCATGTGGAACAGAACCTGGACGAGTGTGAGACGAGGAGCAGGAGCAGGGGAGAGGCTGAGAGCTTACGTTGAGAGGGATCACAGAGGCTCCCAAGAGAAGGCAGGCGATCCACTGATCCCGGGTCAGGTGAGTGCAGCCGAAGGCGGCGTTGAGCCCAGGCACCTCGATCAGGGCAAACTGCAACAGGAATCAGGAATCAGCGACCTGATAGGAGGACAGGGGGAACGAGGACGAGGGGGAAGAGGCAGTCGGATGAGGAAAGGGGTGGAGGGGGTACCTGAGTGATGAGGGTTCCGATGACAATAACGAGGAAGAAGGAGTTGCGGAACACTCCGTCAAAGACGTTGAGCTCGTTGTGGATCTTGCGGGAGTTGATCTCGTTGAAGATCTGCATCAGCACGAAGACGTTGAACACCATGGTGTAATGCTGCGTGTGGTCGCTGACACCGTGGTGGGCGCCGGAGCAGAAGTCGTGAGGCCTGAGGGGCTTGCCGGTCTTGGCATCGAACGTCGAGGGGTCCGAGGAGTTATACATGGGGATGCAGGCACCCGGCACTCCGTTCCAGTCGTACGCCGCAGGTCGTCCGCTGCGGATGTTTCCAAAGTAATCCACCAGGATTTCTCCCTCGCAGACAGAGCCGGTGCCGCGGCAGACATCTCCCATCCCGAAGATAAGGAACGAGAGCACAATCAGCTGCCACGAGGCATGCAAGACCATGTTTCGCACCATCGTCTGCGAAAGAACAGCCTGATCACGGGGGTACGGCTTCCTCCTCAGGAGCTCGTCAGTCGGATCTTCGGTGGCGAGCGCCAGGGAAGCAAAGGAGTCCATGATCAAGTTGACCCAGAGCATCTGGATAGCATTCAAAGGGCTCTCCGTCAAGATGGCAGCGCCAACGCAGGCCAACGAGCAGGCGGTGATGTTGACCGTCAGCTGGAACTGCAGGAACTTGCAGATGTTGTCGTAAACGCAGCGGCCCCACTTGACGGCTGCGACGATGGAAACAAAATTGTCGTCCATGATGATTACGTCCGAAGCATTCTTAGCCACGTCGGTCCCTTGAATACCCATGGCAAAACCAACATCGGCCTTCTTGAGAGCGGGAGCGTCGTTGGTTCCGTCTCCAGTCACGGCAACGGTCTGTTTGATCCCAACAGTGGAAGCCTGGATACCAGAGACCAGCACGTGCTTGTCGAGAGGCGTGGAGCGAGCAAGCACCCTCAGGGGAGGCCAGACCTTATCAAACTCTGACTGGATGATGTTGCCGTCCGAGTCGCAGACGCGATCTCTGAACGTCTTGCCATCGAGCACGGAACCCTCCCCATCTTCGCTGGTGATGATGCCGCATTTCTTTGCGATGGCGCGAGCCGTCTGGATGTTGTCACCAGTGACCATACGCACGACAATCCCTGCGGTCTGGCAGTCCTTGATGGCCCCCGGGACTTCGTCACGAAGAGGGTCCTCGATACCGACGATCCCAACGAGGGTCAGGTCGGCCTCAAGTTCGGGAAGAGACATCTGCTCCGATGGTTTGGACAGCTCCCTCTGGGCGATGCAGAGAGTTCTCAGACCCTCGTCAGCAAAGTCAGAGATGATCTGCTCGATCTGATTGCGCATCGCAACGTCGATGTCCTTGATGGAGCCATCTGCCGTCATGATTCTTGGGCAGAGGGCAGACACGATCTCGGCAGCTCCCTTGCAGTAGAGAACCTCCTTGCCGTTCTGGGGCACGACAGTACTCATCCTCTTCCTGTTGAAATTCATCAGCGAAGGCTCGTGACTAGCCACTCACTGCCTCCCTCACCTGTCCGAGGAGAAGGTGTAGCACACACGACCGATCTGTTCGTCGGGGTACTTCTGTCTGATCGACTCGTAGCTGTGGCCGATCTCGTTCGCCATAATGAGCAGCGAGCACTCAGTATCGTTTCCGCAGTAGGCCCAGGTCCCGTTGGTATTCTTCTTCAGGTAAGTCTTGAACAGGGTGTTGACCACCGCAGCAGTCGCGAACTTCTCCTTGATCTGTGGGAGCTGCGCGCCGATATCTCTCTGTAAGCAATGTTTCAGTACCTGGTGTCAGACATACGGCAAGTCTCACCATGTTGGAGAAGACTCTGTTTCCGCACCATGCCTTGACGACAGTCATCCTTGAAGTGGTCAAGGTACCGGTCTTGTCCGAGCAGATCGTGGTGGCTCCACCCATAGTCTCGCACGCGCTCAAATGCCTGACCAAGTTCTGATCTTTGAGCATCTAAATGGATCGGTTAGCGAACGGTGGCACATAGAAACATCGTCAGACCTTCTTGACAGAGAAGGCCAGGGCGATGGTGACGGCAAGGGGCAACCCCTCAGGAACCGCAACAACGAAGATGGTGATGCCAGTGATGATGAATCCGAGCAACTCAGACCAGTGAATCTTGTGGTCCCATTTCTGAAACCCCGAGTCAATATACCTCAGTCACACGCCATCTAACAAGACCTCGAAGCAGCACTTCCCAGCGTAGAAGGCATAGAACATGCGAAGGCAGAGGATGACCACCAGCGCGATGGAAACCCACATGCTGACAGTTGTGATGAGATCCGTCATGGCATCGAGCTTCTTCTGCAGGATGCTGCGACCGCCCTCAGCTTCCTTCATCTTCTCCTCCATGGTTCCCTGCGTGGATGTGAACAAGACTCCAAAACCTAGTTCACGAATGTACAGACCTGGTATGTGCTCGCTCCAACGGCAACGACCAACATCCTGCCCTCCCCTTCTTGAACAAAGGTGCCGGCGAACAAGGTTGGGCTGCTCTTAACAGAACCATGCCTAACTCGATCGTCAGCATTTGGTTGAGGGAGTTCGTAAGCCTCACTCGAGGATGTAGCTGCTGGACTTCTTCTTCATCACAGTTTCACCCGTGAGCATCTTCTCGTTGATAGCGAGATCATTGCGACCAAGAACGATGCCATCAGCTGGAAGAATGTCTCCAGTGCTCAGCAGAACAATGTCGCCAACAACAAGTTGCTTGGTCGAGATGGTCGTCTGCTGCCCGTCACGGATGACAGTGATGTCAATGTCATCCTTCTTTGCGTTCAAGTCACCTGAAAGATTGAAGGGGTAAGCCTTCACTTTCAGAACGACAAACAAGCATTACGGAATTGCTTCTCCTTCTGGTAATCGTTCACGGCACCAACAGTGACAACCACCACCACCGCAAACAAGATGGCCACTCCCTCAAGCCACCTTGTCCAAGATGAGATTCTTCACCTCAAAGGATCATTTCTCCCGCTCACCCGTATGGCTTTTGCTCAACGAAGACACCGATGAGGAGCGAGAGGATGGCAGCACAGGTGAGGAAAATCAGGGTCGGGTCTTGCAAGGCCTCCCACATCAGTTTCCAGAGCGGCTCCTGCGGCTCTTGTTCAACCTGGCAGTGGCAGCCATGCCGTTAGACAAGCCATTCGAACTTATTCTGGGGCAAGTAACCTCATTCTTGCCAAAGAAGTTGGCCCTGTCCTTGACATCGTTGGAGTTGACACCCTTCTCCTTCTCGATCTTCAAGGATCTGGTGGGCGTGGAAATCTCAGACCAAGGGAGGCTATGCAATCCAATCTACCTCAGGATCCCATCGAGACCACCCAGCTTCTTCTCGTACTCCTGGAGCACGTAGGACTCGACGTCCTGGACAAAAGGATTTCAGCCGAGACTGAGCACGGGGAAGAAGGCCAAACTGCGGACCGAAACTGTAGTGTTGTCGAACGTGAGTCGAACAAGATTGGAAAGATCCTTGGACTTGAGTTTGAAGTCCATGGTTGAGCTCCGTGCGCCGTGGAGGGACCCCCTATTTCCCTCTAACTGTCTGCCGAGCGGCGATCCGGCTTCCGTTACTATAGAAGCAAGCTCGGTGCCGTCCAAACCAGGACCCTGGGGTGCAGTATAAGATGATATTTTGCAGTAGCAGGCGCCACTCCGTCCGCAAGAGGACAAGGAAACGCAAGGTCTGAGACCAAGCTTTCTGCTCAATTTAGCCGTGAGTGCTCAAGAATAAGAAGAGATCACAGGCAAGCAAACATAGCACGCTTAATACACGGATAGCATGACCGGGTATTCGAGATCATCAGATCATTCAAAAAATAGAATATTGCGTTCTTGTAACACGAGATAATGGATTTCAAAACACTACCAGCATGCACCTAGCTTTCGACTAAGCCCCCCTAAACCCCTTGCAAACCATTCCGGAATCTCATATTCAGGGATTGTCAGTTTCCTATCACATCTCTGAAGCATCATCGTTGAAAAATCAAGTTTCCAGAGCTCTCCACAATCCAATCAGGTAGACAGATCTCAAACCACACATGCACATGCGTCCCGAAGCTACATCAGTTCTTCCAAGCACGGAAGAGTCTATTGACGAGGGGGAGGAGAGCGGGGAAAACGTCAGGAGAGGAGCAATGAGCGTCAAGTTTGGATGATGGTAGAGCATGAGAGGAGGAGGTACGCTCGCATGCCGCCGCTCTGCATTCTTCATGCTGGCACCTGTGCGATGGCTTGCGATGGCGCGACCAGCCGATGCCGTAAGGAGGTCTTAGGTTTGTCCTAGTGAGATACATTCCACCAGTACTTACTATCACCGAGGTCCTACACCGCTAGGACCTCGGTGTTTTAGCTGCGCTGTCCGGACACCGAAGCGTACCAGGGGTGGGGATGGGATGTGAACAGGGTAGGGTTAATAATCTGCGATACTAGTCAGGAGGGTGGGGTACAAAGTTAGGGGTGTGGCGAGTGCTCTATGCTGGGTGGGAGGCACCCTTTATGTCCAGCAACTCGTAGGGTAGGGGCTTCGCGGGCCCGGGGGGAGGATGTCTGACGGTGCGGGAAGACACAGGGAGTGACAAAATACATAGCAAGGCAATTGAAAGATATTGGAAGCAAAGGGGTATGGGAGTAGGAAGATGAATCAGGTGACCTGTGTCAGACCAGTCGGTCTGACGGGGGTGGGTAGTGGTCGGGTGGTGGACAAGCACACACGTGCTTGTAGGGGTGTTCATACGAGAATTCGATCCCCTGGGGGTAGGGATGAATTTCCCAGGGGGTACACAAAATGAACAGGCGGGAGGGGTGAGGTACATGAGGTTCATTAGGGGGTAGGGTGGTCGGTTCCCGATCGCTGGGTCTGCAGAGGAAGCATGTGAGTGCTTTTTTGGAAAACAGGGGGGTAGGTACAATAGCTAGTAGGGTAGGGGTGGATAAGAGCTAGGTGGTGACGTGTTCAAAGAGGGGGTAGAACAACTCAAGGCCTGCCTGCCCATAGGGAAGGGTGCTTTCCGATGTTGGTGGGGGTGGTACCTCCAGTAACTGTTCGATACCCCCCCCGCTCAGCCCCTTTACTACTTCGAGAGGGATAACTCCCCACCCCCCCTACTTCATCTCACCAATGACCAAAACCTTATATGCCCCACCCCACCCCTTTCCCTCCCTCTTCCCCACCCCCCGACTGTGGAATTTTTCTTTTCATGTCATGCCCCACCCCTACCCCCTATCTCTCTACCATGTCATCAACCCCGAAGAATCGTCCTTGGCAGCGCCTAGAAGCAGGTACCCCTCCATTCCAGACAGAGAAGTACTCTGGAAGTACCCACCCATACCCATCATTTTCCTCGATCAATTGACTATCACCCTCGTCAATTTCAACCCCACCCCTACCCCCTCAACACTCGGTTTCAAATCAAATCCTCTACCCCTGTCCTTTGAGCGTTTCTGACCCGTCGTTTTGAAAGCCTTCATTACCACCATATCACGTACACCCCCCTTTTCTGCAGAACAAGTAAGGTCATTCAGTGGGTAGGGTGTAAGTGTGGCCCCGAAATGCACCTCTAGCAGATTACCGGTACCCCTGCCTCCAAGGCTACTGCTCGGCGACCTCTGACTTCCAGTCGCACCCGGGCCCGGCCCGGCAGGCGACCGGGGCCCGGGGCCCGGGGCACTGAGCAGCCGGACTCTTTCAGTGATAACGGTAAATGTAACGGTATCATGTGAGTCATGGCCGTTACAATAGGGCGGGATCCGTATGGCGGATTCATAACGGTCATTGACAACGGGCGGATAGCAAGGCAATGCGCCCATGATGGAGGGTAGCGGAGAGGGAGGGAGGGAGGGAGGAAGAGAGGAGGGAGCGGATGAGTTGACCATCATGCATCACGTCACTATGAGAACCTCCAAGGCAGCTGGTCCGAGCCTCCTTCCTGGAAATGTTCTGCAAGGCTCGGAGAGCGTTCAGCAGGGAAAACTGCATGTTGGTCCGGAGTGGAGCTTTGGGATGGTAACCATGGGAATGGCGCTCAATGTGGTGTGCGTGGTGAGAGATGTCATGAGATCGAAGATGAAACTGAACGGTAGCTCAGGTGGGAGTTGTTGCAGCGAACAAGCATGTACAGATGCAGCACAGATTCGGTGAGGCTTTGTTGGATTCCTTGCGGTGCTGACCTCGCGCAGAGTACGCGATCCTCCTCTCGGGGATGCACTTCATGTTCACAGCCGTAGTTCTCCGAATGCTATGCACCTTCAATGTCTTCACATACAAGTAAGGTCCTCTCTGCGTCCACACCATGGCGCTGACCCCTTGCTTCGCCCAGGCCAGCTGACAGGATGATGGTGAGCAGCCCGCTGGGATGATCGCACGTGCTAGCGACGCGCTCATGCTCTGCCGCAGGTTCTCTTCAAGGCTCTGCTGGACTGTGCATCAGTTGGGCTGATGAACGTGAACTTGGCCAAGAACTCTGTGGGGATCTACCAGGTGTCCCCGATCTGACTGTTGAGCGGAAGAGGTGCGGTGGGGCTCACCGATGGACTTTGCAGCTGTCGAAGCTTTCTTGCATCCCGACTACAGTGGCGATACAATACATGTACCCTCCCGCGCTTGATCCCTCCTGAGACATCGCAACCTGACTCGCCTCCCAGACTCTTTGGCACCAAGATCTCTCTGGAGACAGGTGCACGATCAGTTCACTGTTGCGTCTTGTTGACCTGGCTCGTGCTGCAGCCCTGGCCCTCCTTCCTCTCTGCCTGGGGGTTGCGATGGCGACAGTTTCCGACGTTCGAGTCACTGTGGGTGTAATACAAACGCGCAGAGTCTCGAATCCTCGTTGACTTGGTTTGCTTCCAGGGCACACTTTATGCAATTGCGGCTATCCTGGCCACTGTTGTATCCCAGATCTTGACCAAGTCATTTGTACAAAATACGGGCTGCACGGCTATTCAGCTGCTCTACCACACCAGCCTGTGTGCAGCTGTGAGCCTGAGGTCCTGTTGGGGTCAACTGTACTGAAGTGCGAGACAGGTTATCATGATCTTACTTTCGAGGCTCTTCGACGATTATACTCAAGGTAGCTATGCTATGGCATTGATTCTGCATCAACGTGTTGCCTTGACAGCCCAAGGAGTCAAGATTGGCCACATGCCTCTGGAGGTCTTGCTGACCATTCTCATTTCGTGCGTTTTTGCTGTGGTAAGAGTTTTTGCGCATGCGCACGTCGTTTGCTCAGTCTGCGTTAGGGTGTAAATATTACAAATTACCAAGTTCTCTCGAGGACTTCAGCTCTCACTTACCAGGTACGTGGAGTTTCCCCGCATGCAGGAATATCCGCTGATTGGCGGGCAGGTGCTAGGTCACTTGAAAACCGCCCTCACGTTAGCGATGGGTGTGCAGCCTCGTTGGCTTGCTGAGTAGTCTGATATGAGCGAGCAGGGATTCTATTCTTTGACAAAGCATACGCACTCAAGCATGTCTCCGGCCTCTTCCTGGCCTTCGGGGGCATGCTGGCCTACGCGCATGTCCGGCAGGTGCAGAGAAGTTGCCGAGCTGGGGGAAGGGAGGCTAACGTGTGACGGCAGGTTGAAAGCTCTTCGAAGCATCCGGGCGACATCGTGTGGCTGAAGCTGCTCTACACATTCACAGCCGTCATCGTCCTCGCATGGCCACACTTGTAGCGCTATGGGCTGACGGGAGGAAGACACGAGAAGACCCCCGTGTGTGTGTGTGGGGGGGGGGGGGGTTAAGGAGAAAGAGGAGACGGAAAGGAAGGGGAGGAAGGGGAGGGAGGGAGAATAAGCAACGAGTGCGGGAAGGACGGAAGGTGAAGGAGCATTACGGGGATTTTCCTTTAATGTCTTGCAAGCTAGTTTTACAGGCCTCCCTCCTCGCTCCTCATGACGCTGCTTGCACGGCTGGGCTCCTGTCACTTCCCTCCCTCCCTCCTATCCCCAGCACAAGCCTCACCTGGCTTCTTCGACGAGGACGAGGACGAGGGCGCGGCCTCTATCACCTGCAAGCCTTCAGTCCTCGCTCAGATTTCTCTCTCCTTACCTCCTTCCCGCCCATGTAGCTGCGGAGAACCTTGGGAATCTCTACCGACCCATCTTCCTGTGAACTCCCAGCTCAGTCTGCAGACTTTCCTTCCTCTCCTCGCTCCGCGTATCGCCATCCTCGGTCTCCTCTCCTCTCCTCTCCTCCTCCTCCTCGTGCTCCTCCTCCTCCTCCTCCTCCTCCTCCTCCTACCCGCTGGTAGTTCTCAAGGATGGCAACAAGCGTCCTTCCGATGGCGAGGCCTGAGCCGTTGAGAGTGTGAACAAGCTCGTTTCCCTGCGAAAGCGTCAAGATTGTTCCTCCCTCCCTCCCTCCCTCCCTCCCTCCCTCCCTCCCTCCCTCCCTCCCTCCTTCCCTCCCTGCCTCTCGCTGTTCATTGATGCTCCTCCTTCTCCTCCTCACCTTAGCATTCTTGTCCGAGCTCTTGAAGCGAGCTTTCATCCTCTGAGCCTTCCAAGGTCGTCAGAGCCCAGCTGGGCAGGAGCTGAGCTTCACCTGGAAGTCTTCACAGTTGCTGCAGGAGGAGATCTCACGGTAGGTGTTCTGAGCGGGCAGCCAGACCTGCGAGATCGGGACTTGAGAGATGGAAGGGAAAGAGGCGAAGAGGATAGAGGAGGAGGAATACAAAAGGAGGAAGAGCTGCAGGAGGAGCAGGAACAGGAGTACAGGAAGAGCAGGAGGAGGAAAAGGAGTACAGGAAGAGCAGGAGGAGCAGGAGCAGGGGCAGAAACGATGGGAAACTCGCACACCTCAAGGTCGTACGTCTTGGCAGCACCGAAGCCCAAGTCACCCGTGCAGAGCTCCATCTTGCGGTAAGGGAGCTCCAAAGCCTGAACACGTATGAGGAGCAGGAGCAGGAGCAGGAGCAGGAGCAGGAGCAGGAGCAGGAGCAGGAGCAGGAGCAGGAGCAGGAGCAGGAGCAGGAGCAGGAGCAGGAGCAGGAGCAGGAGCAGGAGCAGGAGCAGGAGCAGGAGCAGGAGCAGGAGCAGGAGCAGGAGGGTTCACCTTCAAGATAGCCTCAGCATGTCCCGTGAGCTCCTCGAGGGCCTGGTAGGAAGAGTCTGGATGAACAATCTGAACAAGCTCGACCTGGAGAAATTGTGAGGAGGAAGAAAAGGGAGGAGAGAGGGAGGAGATGAAGGAGGAGAGGAGAAGATCAAGGGGGAGAGAGGGAGGAGGAAGGAGCTGGCGATGGTGTTATGGCAGTGGCGAGTACAAGCTAGTGGACGGAAACGGTTCTAGAGCAAATGAAACATCGAAGGGAAGAGAGAGGGGAGAAGAGGAGGAGGGAGGAGCAAGAAGCATTCTTACTTTCTCAAACTGATGCTGCCTGATCAGCCCTCGCGTGTCCCTTCCGTAAGAGCCTGCGGGTACGTCGTGATGCACAGAAGGAGAATGAAGGAGGGAGCGGCAGAAGAAACACAGCAGCGACGATGGAGGAGGAAGAGGAGGAGGAGGAAGAGGAGGAGGAGGAAGAGGAGGAGGAGGATAACGACGCATGGACAAGAGGCAGAAGAAACACAGCGGCGACGATGGAGGAGGAAGAGGAGGAGGAGGAAGAGGAGGAGGAGGAGGAGGATAACGACGCATGGACAAGAGTCTCCCACCTGCCTCCGAGCGGAAGCAAGGAGTGTGAGCAGTGTATTTGATAGGAAGCTCATCCTGGGCACTGAAAG